TGACCATTATGTTTGTTGAAGGACTGTCTTACATATATAGGAGTTTAGATTGGTTCTTTGAGCTATCCCACAGATAGATTCAGGACTATTGGAGACAGAAATAGTTTTTCTTAAAAAAAAATGTTATAAAGGTTAAGTTGCAATAAACAAAGTAATGGTATGTCTAAGTAGGGCAGCACTTTTTGAGTTCAGTGGTCGTGGTAGGCTAGAGCAATATATATTTTTACATGAAAGTAATCTTTTCCTAAGCATCTAGGAGGGAATCCCCAAGAGTAAGGCTTCTTACTCTTTTCCACCAAAGAATTCCCAAAAATCTATAGGCATAACTCAAAGTGCTCTGTAGAGAAGTACAGAGTTTGACATTTCATATTCATCTTAAATATACATCATGCACTCTACTTTATAATGTATTTATTTTGTTGTAGTATCTGAATGTGCTTTAAATATATACTGTCAAGTAATACTTTGATAAACAGAATTTATCATATGGTTATGAGTACCTTCTGGCACTTCCAGGAGTGCAGTTTCTGTAGTTTTGAGGATACACAGACTTAGAGGTCTTTAGAACCCACAAGCTTGTAACAGACTAAGAATTCCCTCTCAGCTTAATGCAGATAAACTAAAAATTCAGATTTCCATTAATTAGAATTTGTGTTAAATGAGTTCATTTAGGCAATCACATTACTGCTAATATCAAAATTTAGTAGTATCTTGTGCAAACATATGTGTGAACTTTAAAACATAGGAAAAGCATTGTTATATTTGAAAATCTAGAATTATATCTTTATTTTCTGGAGTGGTGAGGTAAGAAGTTTAGTGGCTTCATAATATTGCATTTGGCTGCTGCATTTGTGGGCTCAATTTTGTTGTTTGCTCATGTTCCTTTTTTTTTTCTTTTAAATTAGTGCTTTGCAGGAGACAGATGTTGACTAAATGCTGTTTTGTGAAGTATTATTTAGGAGGTTTTAAAATTAGGATAGCTTTTTCTTGCCTTTTTACTTAGCTTTAATTTTGCTTCTTTTCTATTCTCTTTTGGAGAAGGAAGTGGCAGTCCACTCTAGTATTCTTGCCTGGAGAATCCCCATGAACAGAGGAAACTGGTGGTCTACAGTCCATGAGGTCGCAGAGTTGGATAGGACTGAGCGACTGATACTACGCTACTCTCTTTCCTGCTTTACTTGCACCAAGATTTCTGCAGAAACTGCTTTAAGAGTTGCTGATCTAAATGGGAAATTATCTCCCTGAGACCAGCTCTAGACCACCTTTTAGTGATTTTGGTTACCTGACCACATATCTCTCTTAAATTTCATGTTATTATGAATTTAATAAAAGGGGCACAGGATATCTGATTATTTTAGCTGTGTTACTGGATGGATTGGATCATTTCAGAAGTATCTGTTATTTGCCCTTAATGACTCATCATAATTTAGAGGACGAACTCTGAAGTCAGGAGACTAAGTTTTTGTTTTGTTTTGTGGCAGATTTTTTTTTATTACTCATCCCTGGTTAATTAAGAGGTTAAAAATGCCCAATGTGCATGTTTTACAATTTTACCTAGGAGTTTTATCCTCTAATTATTAATAAAGCTTTAGCATAAACAGCTCCTTGATGCTAAAGAATATCCCAGGCACCAAGGAGACCAAGTTGAACAGAACAAAGTCCTCGCTATTGAAGAACACAGGATTGATGTTAAGTAAGTAAATAACTGTAAAACAGTGTGCCTAGTGCCATTGCAGCAGTGTGAATCAAGGAGAAGATGCTCAGAGACAACTAAGAAATTCTAAAGCCAGAGACAGTTTCTCAGAGGAGGTGATGGTATTTCGAGATCTTGGAAGATAAACACTAGTTTGTCAGGCAAAGAGGAATGTGTCCTAGGAAGAAGGAGGCTTTAAATGTGTGATGTATTTAGGGAACTATAATTAAATCAATATACTGGACAGTTGCAGATATGGCTGGAAGTTCAAAAGGAAGTATATTCACAAGTGCATTGCATTTCATGATAAATTGCCTAGACTTGACTGAAGGTTTTTAATAAGTGGAGCAGTATAATCATATTTTCCCAAAGAAAAAGAAATGCAGCAAGGCAAAGTGAGTGTCTGAGGAGGCTTTACAAATAGCTGAGAAAAGAAGAGAAGTAAAAGGCAAGGAAGAAAGGGAAAGACATAACCAGCTGAATGCAGAGTTCCAGAGAATAGCAAGGAGATATAGAAAGCCTTCTTAAGTGAACAATGTAAAGAAATAGAGGAAAACAAGAGAATGGGAAAGACTAGAGATCTCTTCAAGAGAGTTGGAGCTATCAAGGGAACATTTCATGCAAGGATGGGCGTGATAAAGGACAGAAATGGTAATGACTTAACAGAAGCAGAAGAGATTAAGAAGAGGTGCCAAGAATACACAGAAGAACTATATAAAAATGGTCTTAATGACCCAGATAACCACAATAGTGTGGTCTTTCACCTAAAACCAGACATCCTGGAGTGTGAGGTCAAGTGGGCCTTAGGAAGCATCACTACGAACAAAGCTAGTGGAGATGATAGAATTCCAGCTGAGCTATTTAAAATCCTAAAAGGTGATGCTGTTAAAGTGCTGCACTCAATATGCCAGCAAATTTGGAAAACTCAGCAGTGGCCACAGGACTGGAAAAGGTCAGTTTTCATTCCAGTCCTAAAGAAGGTCAATGCCAAAGAATGTTCAAACTACCATACAGTTGCACTCATTTCACATGCTAGCAAAGTTATAATAAAATCCTTCAAGCTAGGGTTTAGCAGTATATGAAATGAGAACTTTCAGATGTACAAGCTGGGTTTAGAAAAGGCAGAGGAACTAGAGATCAAATTGCCAACATTTGTTGGATCATAAAGAAAGTAAGGGAATTCCAGAAAACACCTATTTCTGCTTCATTAACTTAATGTTAAGCCCTTTGGCTGTGTGGGTGACAACAAACTGGACAATTCTTAAAGAGATGGGAATACCGGACCACCTTACGTGCCTCCTGAGAAACCTGTGTACAGGTCAAGAAGCAACAGCTAGAACTGGACATGGAACAATGAATGGTTCCAAATTGGGAAAGGAGAATGTCAAGGCTGTATACTGTCACACTGCTTATTTAACTTATATGCAGAGTACATCTTGTGAAATGCTGGGCTGGATGAATCACAGCTGGAATCAAGATTTCTAGGAGAAATATCAACAACCTCTGACATGCAGATGATACCACTTTAGTGGCATAAAGTGAAGAGGAGCTAAAGAACCTCTTGATGAAAGTGAAACAGGAAAAAGCTGGCTTGAAGCTCAACATTGAAAAAAACTAAGATCATGGCATCCGGACCCATCACTTCATGGCAAATAGAAGGAGAAAAAGTGGAAGCAGTGACAGATTTTCTTTTCTTGGGATCCAAAATCACTGCAGATGGTAACTGCAACCATGAAATTAAAAGACACTTGTTCCTTGAAAGGAAAGCTGTGACAAAGTTGCATGCATGCTAAGTCACTTCAGTAGTGTCTGACTCTTTGCGATGCTATGGACTCATAGCTTCCCAGCCTCCTCTGTCCACGGGATTCTCCATGCAAGGATACTGAAGTGGTTTGCCATGCCCTTCTCCAGGGGATCTTCCCGATTGAACCTGTGTCTCTTCCATCTCCTGCATTGGCAGGTGAGATCTTTACTACTGGCATGCTAGACAGCGTATAAAAAGCAGAGACACCACTTTGCCAACAAAGGTCTGCTAGTCAGAGCTATGGTTTTTCCAGTAGTCATGTACAGATGTGAGAGCTGGATCATAAAGAAGGCTGAACACCAAAGAATTGATGCTTTCAAATTGTGGTGCTGGAGAAGACTCTTAAGAGTCCCTTGGACTGCAAGAAGATCAAACTAATCAGTCCTAAAGGAAATCAGCCTTGAATATTTATTGGAAAGACTTATGTTGAAGCTGAACTCCAATACTTTGGCCACCTGATGTGAAGAGCCAACTCATTGGAAAAGACCCTGGTGCTGGGAAAGGTTGAAGGCAAAAGGAGAAGGGGACGACAGAGGATGAGATGGTTGGATGGCATCACGGACTCAATGGACATGAATTTGAGCAAACTCCGGGAGATAGTGAAGGATAGGGAAGCCTAACGTGCTGCAGTTCATGGGATCACAAAGAGTCGGTCACACACGACTTAGCGACTGAACAACAAAGACTGGCTGTGAGTCCATGTCTCTTGGCGCACACACCTCTTTTTCCACAACAGAGAGCTAAGTGACGATAGAGGAAATCGGAGCGAGGCTAGACTCATGTTTCCATGTGTGGGCAGGATTTTCGGTTGGTTGACTGAGTCATTGCCTTTGTCTTAAGAGGTAGGTCAGATACAGATGGGAAAATGTCTAGTTTAGATTTGTTAAAAGCGTGGAACTAAGAAGACATAAATGTGGTTTAAAATGTAGATACGAATGAAGATCATTCCTAGAAATTGCTATCCTTAGATCTATGTGTTAAGCTATTTTAGGAATAAATTTACTGTAAAAGTATATGTTTTCTCCATTTTGGGGGGGTTCCATTAACAGAAAACATGCAAATAGTAAAATCTTGTAAAATTTGTAAAAGGCTTGAAACTCATATTTTTAAATGTGGTTTTAAGAGGAACGGCCTCCTTTTTGTGTGTGTGTGGTTTTTTTTTTCTTTTTATTCACAGATTTTTTTTGGCCACAGATTTTGGCTCTAATGCATTAGTTTTCTGTCAGCTTCTCTAAAGATGCAAGGAGCGAGTTTAAATTAAGGATATGTTCAAGGGTACCCTTCAGGGTAGGAGCTTACTCTGCTCTGATTTTTATTTAGTTGGGGAGCATCCTGAGAAATGCGTTTAGATTATGTAACTGGTCACTTGGGGCCCCTAGCCTCCTGCTAACCCAGCCCGCTGGAGAGGCAGCATGCTGCTGGGAGTAGCTGGGTCAGACTCAGCCCTGTTGCCTAGCAGTCCAAGAGGAGCCGTCATAAGGGCTTGTTGCTGAGCAACTAGGGGGCTGCTGCTGTTGTCTCATCCCCCACGGAGTAGTACGCTGTGGCCGCCCGTCCCCATGGGAAAAGCAGTACAGCCTGGCAGGGGGCCAAGCCTCCCTCAGAGGCGCAAGGCTTGTTAGCAGTAAGTATTTGACCTTAGAATCAAAGATGATACCTCATGTTGGATGAACATGCAAACGGTTTGTGGAATTATTGATGTAAGTTTAATTAAACATGAACTTGGAGCAAGGCAGGTAGCTGTGATAGCCAGAGTTCTCTTTTCAGATACATTCATTCCAGTTTCTTTCTCCTTCAGACTTCGTTGCAATGTCCATTTTCTGGGTCAATGGCAAGTATTTTTTTTTTTTTAATGCCTCATGGAATATGTAACTTGCCGTATTAACGTTATTTAGCCAAAGCAAATATTTACATTTGAGAAAAACCAGCAAGCTAAATCCTGTGTAGTCAAGTGGGCCTGCATGGCGAAGTATTTGATTCAATATCAACGCAAGGACTTGCCACTGTTACTTTTGATACTGCTTTGAATTTTCTCTTTGTAAAGCAAAGTCAGAAGATACTTCACCAGGACCACTTATGACTTTATTTTTTAGTATTTAACACCGTCCATAAATGACTCTTCAGGAGAGCTGATAGCTGAAACTAATTCTTGTAAGAAGGGTAAGTTCTGATTTTAGGACTTAAAATTGCCTGTATTGAGTAAACCTTTTCCTGAAGATCCAGAAACATAAATTAAAGGCCAAATATTGAGCTCTTTCAGTGTTTTAGAATACTACTCAGTTGCATGGAAGGCTAAAGTGTGAAGTAGAGGAATGAGCATCCATCACTGAGAAATAATTAACACTGACCAGCTAGAGAGAAGTGATGCAAACCTTTCTCATCTCTGTTTCTCTTCCTGTTTTTTCATTCTGTATTTCTAGCCTTGTGCTGTAACTGTTTGCCTGTAAAGGTTTTAGGAAGCAGACCTTTGGGTACAGAGATTTGTTTGTTGGCATTGGGGTCTGCAGTCTTTAAGGGACCTATATTCTTTCTGAAAAAAGTACTTAAAAACTTAAAAATTCCTCTCAAGAAGTGCACAGATTTGTGTTTCGCACACGTGTCCACACACTAATGTGTCTAAGCCATTCAATTAGAGTACAACTGAGATAGTATATAAATAGTGATAGAAAGTTTAAAATCTTTTCTAAGATGCCTTCTTTTTAAAGGCATCTCTACTTCACATGTAAAAGTGAACTTTTTACTTTTTATCATGTGTATCATTCACAGAAGCATTCTATTTATCTGTGTTATATAAGTGTATTAATGAATCTAAAGCGTATTAAGCCCAGTATATGCCAGGTGCTGTTCCATATAGATGGTGTGCTATGAGTGCTGAGCCGCTTCAATCATGTCCGACTCTGCATCACCATGGACTGTAGCCTGCCAGGCTCCTCTGTCCATGGGATTCTCCAGGCAAGAATCCTGGAGTGGGTAGTCTTGGTAATCTTCTCCAGTGGATCTTCCTGACCCAGAATTTCCTGCATTGTCGGGTGGGTTGTTTGCCACTAGCGCCACCTGGAAAGCCCCTATATATAAATTAAGCATGTCATTTAACTTTCCCAACAACTGTATGTGAGAGGTAGTTCACGCGGAAAAGTCTAGGCCTGCCCAGAAAGGTCAAATAACCAGGACAGATGTGCACACAAAAGATTTATAATCAGAAAGTCTGTCTTTAGAATCGTAACGCTTCTCAATCATAATGCTATATTTTGAGCTCTGTATTATTTCATGAGGGCAGCATGAAGCGATATTCACAACAAACTGTTTTTAGGTTATAATGATATAATGAGAGAATGCAAAATACTGAAAACTATGGAATCTTTTTACATAATTAAATTTGTTTAATTTATTGTTTGGGCCTATATAGTCCATAGTCAGAAGCCTTTTAAATCAAACTTTTTTATATCCATCCAAATTCAGTGGATATACAAAATAAATTTAGTAGGCATTTTGCACTGAGGTTGTTTCTCTTCAGGACGAAATTTGAGATATATTTTAGTTGGTATGTGAGATGTGAAGGAAGAGGAAATGGTTAAAAAACAGAGGAAATGAATAAGTGACTGTTTTGGGGTCCGTTCTCCAAAAAAGTCATATTTCTTAGGCGTTTGCAATAAGAAGCATTAAGGAACTGTCTTTTAGTCATGAGAAAAATAATGCAGGGGGAAAGTTGTATGTAAAAGCTAGGTCAACAGTCCAGGAATATTTTCAGCAACGATGGATAGCGGATCAATTACAGGCTTTCTAGTCAGACAGGGCTGAATATGTGTCTGTGATTTATTACCTGTGTGACGTTAGAGAGGTATCACTAGATATCTCTAAGCTTTGAAAAAAGTCTGTTTTTCTCTTTTGGAAAAAAAGGTTAATTGTGATGATAAAGTGGAATAAATGCAAAGTGTCTAGCAAGACTCATGACGCACAACAGGTATTTATTAAATGTTGAAATCTTCTTTTCTCCAGTCCTAGCAGCAACACAAAAAAACGAGGTTATCCTAGGGACCTGAAGGGTCAAGGCAGTTTCATAGTGGGTTTGTGGGGTCAAAGTTGCTCAGCATTTTAAAGATTCTTGTCCAACGTTGCCAAATTATGTAAAAATAATGTTACAATATAGGCATTATATTTTTAATTAGAAGCCCTGATTTTACTTTGCCTATGGTTATGATATTTATTTGAACCTTAGGAAACAGGATGTGTAACTGTACTAATTGAATCTGAAACATGAATGTATTTCTGATTCTTAGTCATTTTCATCGGTTCCTCTTAGTTCATTTTTTAGCTACTGAGGCTTCATTCGAAAATTTTTGAATTAAAAATTTTAGATAGATTAGAGATGTGACACAGGTAAATTTTTGATTTTGGTCATTTGTGTATATTTCTTATCAGTTGCTCTAGCTGTAACCCTGTGTCCCCTGAAACAGGGCTTTTGTTTGCTCTGTGGCACCTGCCACATAGGAGTGGTGGTTTAGTTGCTAAGTCATGTCCAACTCTTGCACCCCCATGGACTATAGCCCGGCAGGCTTCTCTGTCCATGGGATTCTACAGGCAAGAATACTGGAGTGGGTTGCCATTTCCTTCTCCAGTGGATCCTCCCGACCCAGGGATTGAACCCAGGTTTCCCGCATTGCATGCAGATTCTTTATTGACCGAGCTACGAGGAAAGATTTACCACATGGTAGATAACACTATTTGATGAATGACAGAGTGGATAAAACAGGTTATTAGTGATTTTATGTACATACAATAGCTATTAAAACTTTTGAAAATGTAGCAGTTGCCAAGGATCTGGTTAGTAGGGTAGTTTAAGAACTATTGCAGTTGTAGAAATCAAGCATATACCGTAAGGAAAAATAGAAGATAGTAGTCTAAGGGTTAAAAGAGGGTAACTTAGGAATAAGTAAAGAAATTTGAAGAGAATACTGTAGTGCTAATTTAGTTGTGATCACTTTTATAAATGGGCTTACCAGGTGGTGCTAGTGGTTAAGAACCTGCCTGCCAGTGTAAGAGACACAAGAGATGCGGTTTTGGTCCCTGGGCCGGAAACATCCCCTGGAGAAGGGCATGGCAGCCCGCTGCAGTTTTCTTGCCTGGAGAATCTCATGGACAGAGGAGCCTGATGAGCTACAGTCCATAGGGTTGTAAAAAGCCAAACACGACTGAAGTGACTTAGCAAATATAAGTGTATTTCAGCTCTTACAAAAGGTGAAAGGACCATGATATGGAATATCTGAAAATGCTAGAGACAAAATACCAAGTGCTGTAGATGGATGAATAAAACATTGCCATTCAAGATGTTCACAGGCTGCTAAGAGAGACAGACATGCACAGAGCTGTCATGAGAAGTCGACCATGATAAGTGCATCAGAGAGTTACGAACAAAGTGATTTAGGGGCAGGGGATATGACTCATAAGAAACTCGAGCAGTTCCAAAGAGCTTTACCAAAGCAGAAACCTTTGAGTTGGCTTTTAAGGAAGCTCAGAACCTACTCGTGAGAGCACAGGGGTATGACCTGCATTCTGGGCAGAAGGAAGTTGTTTTTTTTTTTTTTCATTTATTTTTATTCGTTGGAGGCTAATTACTTTACAATATTGTAGTGGTTTTTGCCACACATTGACATGAATCAGCCATGGATTTACATGTGTTCCCCATCCTGATCCCCCCTCCCACCTCCCTCTCTATCCCATTCCTCTGTGTCTTCCATTTGTGCATTTTTTTTTTTTGGTATATGTTGCTAGCTCTATGTGGCCAAGACATTGAAACCAGCACATTTTATCACAACTTGTACAAAGTCTGGGATTTCCAGGTAGCTCTAGTGGTAAAGAACCTGCCTGCCCATGCCGGACACCCCAGAGACATGGGTTCGATCCCTGGTTCAGGAAGAATCCCCTGGAGAAGGAAATGGCAACCCACTCCAGTATTCTTGCCTGGAGAATCCCATGGACAGAGGAGCCTGGCGGGCTACAGTCCATAAGGTTGCAAAAAGTTGGACTTTACTGAAGTGACTTAGCATGCATGCGCTTAGAAAGTCTAATCAGTAAATATTGGTTTTTGAATATCTGGGTAAATGAGTGAACAAACTTACCTTCTTAATATGGGACAATAGTCTTCAAATAAAATAATTACATAATAAAATAATTATTGAAGGTTGTGTTTCTTTACTTGATTATACCTATGCAATTTAAAGAAAAATTTAAACTTTGTGAACTCTGATTAACATTCATCTCATTGGTGTCTAAGAAAACACAGCTGTGGACTTAATTCCTATCATTCTGTTCTTTTCTTTCTGCCCTTAATATCTACACTCCGGTTGGTTTGTTTAGATGCATGAGTTCAAGTATATTCCTTTTTTTTTTTTTAAGTCTAAAGTAAAACCTCCCTAAACGGAGGCCACAGTACTGCTTATACATGAAATGATATTTGGGTTGATATTTTTTATTTCCTCTTTAGAAGCGGAACAAACATCCTATTGTACACATTCTCCATTCTCCAAGTAAAAACCTACAATGCAATAATGGGGAATGGGTGGTATTTCCTGTTGCAAAGTGTCCAGTAATATCTGGAGGATTTAGCTGGATTTTAGAGATTGTATTAACATTTGTGGCACAAATGACAGTTGGGTTTATTAAATGGCAGTTTCAGCCAATTAAGATTTCTCATAGTTTTGAGTTCCTTTTCTTTCTCTTTTCAATTTCAGCATGTCTTTGGAAGGCAAATATATTAGAGTATGATTCCTTTGGTGTTTTGTTTTTCCTTTGGAAGCCAAAACAAAACTCTTCAGAACATCATAGTCCCAAAAGGAAGCTTTAAGACTTGGGAGTGTGATCACAGCTACCTTTTTAGGATCCCAAACCAAATCCGGTGTTAAACACAAGAAGCACATTTTTTACTTACGCAGGACTTCAGGGAGGGTAATAAAATAACATTGTGTATTTGTGTTTTATCATCTGTGATCTTTGATTCCCAGAACATCCTGGAGAGATAAGCAGGGTAAATATTTTCATCCACATTTGATAAACAAGGCTCTGTCATTTACCTGTGAAAAAAGATAAGTCTTCAAAGTCAGCATCTGATACAGGGGTGAACTGGAGCTAGAACTGACTTGAGTATTTCTGCCTCGATGTTACAAGCCCTGAAGATTTTCTTTTACTGACTTACTTGTAAGCTGTAAGGAAATGTGGGAAGCAAAGGAAAAAGAAACGTAATGAAATTATTTGCAAATGAGCTTGAAAGATGGCTAGCATGATGCTCTTGGCATTTGGAGAAAAAGACTATTTGAGCATCATGGTAAAATATTACTACCACATAGAATTCCTAGGTTTTACACAAATTACAAATTCAGTTACTGTCCCAATGTGAGTGGTCTGTGAAATATGGACTAGAAGGAGCATTTCTCAAACTGGGAAGACTAGTGAGAGATATAATGTCTGTAAGAATTGTTGGGGTGGAGGCAGGTGTGGATGAGGAGAGTGGAATTAGATGGTGCCTGTGGGAATGGAATTGAAGAATGAATTTGAGGACAATTATGAACCTGGTATCGGAGAAGGCAATGGCAACCCACTCCAGTACTCTTGCCTGGAGAATCCCATGGACCGAGGAGCCTGGTAGGCTACAGTCCATGGGGTCGCTGAGAGTCGGATATGACTGAGCAACTTAACTTTCACTTTTCACTTTCATGCATTGGAGAAGGCAATGGCAACCCACTCCAGTGTTCTTGCCTGGAGAATCCCAGGGACAGAGGAGCTTGGCGGGCTGCTGTCTATGGGGTCGCACAGAGTTGGACACGACTGACGTGCCTTAGCAGCAGCAGCAGCATGAACCTGGTATAGATAAAATTTGGTGGCTTATTAGAAAGGAAAGAAGAAAACAGCAAACAGTACTGGACTCTCCTACTATGAATGACCCTAGTAAAGTTAGCACATACAAGCATAGGAATATTGATGTTTCTGGCTCCATGCTTTATAGAAGGAGGAACAGATGATCTCCATAAGATGAAACATGGCTCTCTCATCTAGGACAACTAATCACTTGCCATGTGTCTGTTCAGATATGTAGACTGCCTGAGTGAAAGGGAGCCTGGTTTACCCAGTGATTGGTAGTAGCCATCTCTATCAGAAGTGTCTATGGAAATGAAAGTAACTCAGTTGTTTTCTATATTATTAGTTTTTAAATGGGGGCTTTCGATATAGAAATACCTAAAAGGATAGGAACAAGGAAACCATGCAAGTGTATCAGATACCTATTCATAGCAAAATTTCAAGTTACCCTTTGATGTTGAGGCATTATGTGTGGGCCAGGTTTTATTGGGTGGATTTTCTCTCCCAGAATTCCAATCACTGTGTTATATAATTGAGGAAAACAATGTCCTTCCTCCTTGTCCTTGAAATTCGAAGAGAACTGCAGGGATATATGGCTTTTAAAGTCACACATCTGAGAAAGGCTGTCACTCAGCTAGTGAAACTATTTTCAGTGGAAAGTTGAAAAGCTGAAGAAAGCAATGTATTTTGCTCTATTGTTGATTTTACTATTTAGTAGCTATGTCTCCGACTGTTCACATTACACGGTCTTGGGGCAAAACACAAGAAAAGTTGATCCAAGTACAATTGGTGGGTTTGAATAGGTGACAAAATAATAATGGCAAAAAAAAATTTTTTTAAATAGGAAACAAAATAATAAGAGAGTGCTGAGCTGCTTACTCAAGGAAATTTATCCTGCTCTTATTGTAAGTCAGAAACGAATAAAAGAAGTCAGGATGAGGAATGAAAAAATAGCAATGAACGTTATTTTTAAAATTGTGTGTCATTTTGTCATTAAATTAGATGTTATTGCCCAAGGAACCATTTGTTCTTTTCCAAAACAGACAAGGAACAAAGGATGTTTATCTTAATACATCTTTTTTCCCCCTTTGTTTCCTTCAAGGGTCATGGTATACTGAAAAGGCACTCAATCAAGAGAAATCTGGGGGTAGCTGGAAACCATCAAGTTATTGAGGCCACACAGGGGGCAGAAGAGATAGAGGTGGGTATGCTTTTGATCCATCAATCCTGCTATTGAGGGTGTCCCTGAAAATGTCTTTGTTGCTATAGAGCCAGAGGAAAGCAAAGGAAAAGTAAAGTGGGAAGTCTTTATTTTAGAAAACAAATCAATATGATTAAATGGAAGCTTGATAAAATCCATTGTTAATGTCAAATTAATAGCATGCATGCGGAGAGCTTGAGCTCCACATTTCCATCCAGTGTCTGCCAGGGACCAGTGATTAGTCCACAGATTAAGCTTGCTGTGATATTTACATTCTTAGCTGTGTTTATTTAAATTGTACCTAACAGAGGCAGCTAGCCCACCAAAATAAAGTTTTAAATTTATATTCTTAGAACAGAAGAAAAATGTATAATATTACCTATAAACTTGTGTGTGTGCTCCATCATGTCCAACTCTTTGCAACCCCTTGGACTGTAACCCTCCAGGCTCCTCTTTCCACGGAATTTTCCAGGCAAGAATACTGAAGTGGGTTGCCATTTTCTACTCCCAGAGGGTCTGGACCCAGAGATCAAACCCCCATCTCTTGTGTCTCCTGCGTTGGCAGGCAGATTCTTTACCACTTCGCCACCTGCCTATAAGCCTATAAATTTACCACTCTTCTAATACTGATCTCCCTAGAGACCAAAGCGATAGCTTCATAATCAGTACATAGAAGGAAATAGTTTTGATGACACTAACTGGTAGACATAAATCTCAAATACTTTTTGAGAAACAGTTTTCTGTGTGCTGCTGATGGCCTCTCTCATCTCAGTGCTGTGTTTTCCCACTGGGAGTTAGAAATTTGCTTCCCTGCTACAGTTAAATGGCAGACCAGAGACCATGGAGTAAGTCTCCAACTGCAGGAGGCCTCCTCCCACTCTTGGTGAGAAGGGAGCTCCAAGGGAATAGGAAAATGGAAGACATTACATTTGCTTTGGGCTCATTGCCTGGGTTTCTAAAAAGCAATACAGCTTTCCTATTTACCCGCTGTGATTTCATTTAAACAGTGGCAGTGGGTTCATTTTCTTGTGTCATCTGAGCATTTTTAGTACTTTTATGTCAACTTTTTAAGTTTGTGTCAGTGGAAATTGAAATCTACTTTTAATAAAAGGTAGAACTAATATGACAAAAATTTTTATCAGAAAGCATATTTCTATATAAACAATTGGAATCTCCATACTAAGATAAAACAGCAAGTACATTTATAAACATTAATTTTGTATTTAAGAAAAATTGAAACTAACGTAAAATAATTGAGTCTTCATTGTGGGTGGAATGGGTAGAGGCTTTTAAACATAATCTCTTGTAATCCTCACAATGACTGTGGAGAAAGTAAGGAAGCAGAGTCATTCCTTGTGAAAAAGTGCACTTTGCCAAGCGCACACATTTGGCTGGTGGGTGGTGAAGTTAGGATTTGAGCCTGATTTTGTCTGATGTTTATGCCTGTGTCCTTGACCACCTTAGATAGGGAGATTTGGCATGAGCTAAAAAGTATCTTGTTTTCATCAGGTATCTATAGTTGGTGGTTGAAAACATACATTTTTAAGGAACACATTATCCCTTATTCTATGAACTCTAAAAAAGAGATGAAACATTTTTCTGATTCATTTAGTGAGGAGCATTTAACTAAAAAACACAAAATTTTAAAAATAATAAAAGTGATACAAAAAATATAACAAAAATTCACTGAAATACTAAATATAGTAATGCTCCTCACTAAACTATGGATTTTTTCACTTCCTGATTCCAAATGACACTTGATAAAATGCAACTATATTTCTTTTAAGAATACACATTTATAAAATATAGTAACATAGGAATAGAGAGCTGTTTTTAAATTGTGAAAAGCAAGAAAAACAAAAACATTAGATGCTTACAACATGTCCTGTTTCATCACTTATATTTAATTAGCATCGTTCTATAGATTTTAGTCAATGCAATGATTTTTTTAAATAGCAAACATTTAGAAGATTCTTATTATATATGCTAGAAGCTGTTCTAAATGATTTACAGGTATTAACTCATTTAACTTTCATAACTAGGGAATATTGACCACTGTAAATCTCATTTTACAAATTAGGAAGCTGAGACCCAGAGAGTCTAAGTAACTTGGCCAAGATCACACAGCTAATAAATTGTGTAGCTAAATAAGCACTCAACTGGTTTAACTCATGAGCTTTAATTTTAAATCATATGATATACTGCCTCTCAAAGTTCATGGTTATTAGCAAAGAGATGACATCTTTTTCCCTTAAAAGAGTGTATATATACTTTTTTTTTTTTTTACTAAAAATCCCAAGAAAATTAATTGAAAAGCTGTTAGAATAAGAAACTTCAGTTAAGTGACCATACAGAGGATAAATATGTACGAATCAATTGACTTTTCTATAATAGCTACAAATAGAAAATATGATGAAAAATGCCATTATAATAATAATGAAATATATATCTATGAGTAAGCTATAATAGAAATGTATAAGACTTAAATGAAGAAAATAGCATTTGATTGAGAAATGCAAAATAAGATTAGCAGTAATGGGGATTGATATTATATTCCTGGATAAGAATAATAAATATTGTAATGATGTTAGCTTCCCCAAATTAATTTATAAAATTAATGCTATTCCATATAGGACCATAAAAAGAGTTTTAGGGCAAAGTTGGCTAAATGATTATTAAAATTCATCTGGAAGAATGAATAGACTGGGAAAAGCAAATTTTTGAAACAGAATAATAATGAAAAAGAACTTCTAATTCCAAGTATTAAAACATAAAATTACTGTTACTGAGACAGTATTTCAGTATGTTACTTTTTCCTAAAATAAAGATTTAGGAGAAGCTAAATCATCTTGAAAATTCTGCAAACAGATTTAAGCATACAAGGGTACATACAATGAAGACTACATTTCATGTTGGTAGAGAAAGTATTGATTATTACAAGAACAGAATCCCAATGGTGAATTATTGTTAGGAAAAATTGTAACCTTGAATCTTTTATTTATATGAAATACAAATAAATATTAGATTAACTGAAAAAGAAACATAATGAGGTATAACTGAAAAATTGGCAAATATAATCTGGTCTAATATGACATCAAAGGCAAAAACCATAACTGGAGATTGATAGACTTGATTGTGGGACATATTAAAACTTTTTTTTACATACAAACAGAAAGGGGACTCAAACAGCATGCCTAGCACTGGATCTGAAAATTCTTTTCAGAATAGAATGAATAAATCAGCAAGTGCTGACTAATATCCCAAGTACACTACTGTTTTGAGGCTTCATAAAGCAAAGCCCATCCTGGAATAGTGCTCATTCATTATTGTGCTGTAGGCGCAGAGCAAATTCCAAAGATGAAATTCTAGAGAAGATCAAATAATGACATGGCAGTTAGGATTGTTCCACCTAAAAAGGTCAGGTAAATTAGAATTGTAGCATACAAGAGAATAAGGAATTTCAGCTAGACAGTTGTATAATTCATACATATGCCAGGGCATTTCATTTCAATAGAAGTGATTTACAACAGCATTGAGTAATGTCTGGAGTTTTACAATGTGTTAAAACACTTTATCGCTAATAAAAGTGAAATAATTCTAGTTTTCTGTCTTGAATTGTGTGGTAGATAATTGCAGAGAGTGACACAGGGATAAAATGAAGAGAGTTTTTGTTGTAGATAGTGGTGCAAGAAAAGTTGTTTCCTTATCTCCCTCTAAAGTAGCTTTGTTCCTTCTATGCTGGGGCTTTAGGACAAGAGGGAAAACAAAATATATTATGATCAATGAACAAGGAAAAAAAGAAAAATAAAGCTTTGATTTATTTTAAATATCCCAGGTGATATCAGCCTGGACTATGACAGTCAATTCACACTAAAATAAACAAAACAGTCATTTTCTGTGCTGGGCCCTATTAGAAAATTTTCTAGACTCCAATCCCAAATAGACTATTTCCATTGGCTCAGTGGTAAAGAATCTATCTGCAAATGCAGGAGACACAGGAGATGTGGGAAGATCCTGGGTCGGGAGGATCCCCTGGAGTAGGAAATGGCAACCCACTTAAGCATTCTTGGGCTTTCCTCGTGGCTCAGATGGTAAAGAATCTTCCTTAAATGCAGGAGAACAAGGTTTCATCCCTAGGTGGTGAAGATCCCCTGGAGAAGGAAATGGCAACCCACTCCAGTATTCTTGCCTGGAGAATCCCATGAGCACAGGAGCCTGATGGGCTACAATTCATGGGGCCTCAAAGAGTCGGACACGACTGAGCAACTAACACTTGAAGTATCCTTGTCTGGAAAATTCCATGGACAGAGGAGCCTGGTGGGCTACAGTCCATGCAGCCGCGAAGAGTCAGACATGACTGAGTGTGCACACACACAGACAAGTCCCAAATATCTTGTGAGAAGAGTAAATGGCAGGCGCATCAGCTTCCTCATCTTTCTGTTCACATTCAATCGCCCTGGGTGTCCCTGGTCACTGCTGTTTGCTCCTGAGGTCGTTCCTCCTCTTCCATGCCTTTCTGCTGGTGGTCCCTCACCTGAAAGACCCTCCCCACCCCACCTCTTCCCATATGCGGTGTTCTTTTCCATTTCTAGGTTCAGATTGCCCACTGTTTTGCATTCCGTTACCCTTCTCTATTCTAACCCAACTGTTATTCCTGGATCAAATTTGTTTCTTCAGCTCTTTTTGTCCACCAACTCTAAAGAGGTTCTTACCTCTCTGATGCAAGGGGTGAGATTGTTAATAGGTGATTTTTTCTCAGGAAGCTTAGAGGTATTGGGGGCTGGCTAACAGCCATCATCAGTGTCCTCCCTATAAGGACTTTAAGGTCCTCAAGAAGTTATATCCTTGGTGGGTCCATCCTGCTGACTTATGAGACATACCTGGAAATGCCCAATTCTAAAAATAAGCTCTAATAACCCTGCCAAACAAAATACTGGTTTAAGCATATATCTTTATTTCTTCATAGATGTACACTTAGTTTATCTTTGTTTTTTCTTTTG